CGTCCCCGCGCCCCACGGCAGCTAGGCCGAATTAGACGCCACGATGTCCCCCGGGAGGCGAGGTCGTGTCTCTAACCTGATTTGCAGTCTGAGCTGTGTGGGACTTGTGCGCACCGGTCTCTCCCGCCGTATCCACTACTCCCCCCTCCTCTCTCTCTCTCTCTCTATATATATGAGTGATTCTCAAAAAACTTGCCAATTCGGGTCCCTTGATGTTTTCTCACTTGCACCAAATAGCCGGGCGGGTGTTTTAGCAATTTACAGTGCGGGTTCGCCTACCCCAGGTGGCCAGAGCGCCTTACGGGCAGTGCGGCAGTGTGAAAAAAAGGCCGGCCGGCCGGGTCCCAGGTGGGACTCGAACCCCAGCGCGGGTTGCCGACTAGTCGAGCTGCTCGTACAATGAGTAAAAATTCAAACATAAAAACGAATAATCTGACGGCGCGTCGAGTATTAGAACCCCCGACTCAGAGTTCAAATTTCGCAGCGAAATCAAAGAGCCACGAGGTCGGTCTCGAAGACACAGGTGTGAGGGTGTCGTGATGGAACCGGTTCTTTCCCCGCTCAAGATACTGCGGTGACTCGTGCCTTCAGCCTAGCTCTCCCGGCCACCCACACTGTGGCGTCGTAGCCGCGCCGGTAGAGAGTCGGCCTCGTGCGCCACAAGTCAGGGGTTCGAATCTCCCATCCCAGTTACATTTTTCTGAACCAGTTGAACTCTTGGAGGTGAACTTAAACCCGTCATTTCAACGGGGCACCTTTGTGGATGAACGAACGGTCTGGTGGTTAACGCTGTCCCACTGGACCGGGGGTGACGATGACTCGGCACTGGGGTCCCATGGGGGGCAAAGGTTCGACCCTCGGCGAAAGCGTGCCGGGTAAGAGCCATCCCAGCCACAGCGGGAGTGGTAACCCGTGTGGAATTGATAAGTCCTTAGAATCTGGCTCCTCGAAGGGATTCCACGACTCGGAAGCTTTCCGCTCGGATCGCATCTGGGTGCAGTACAGGCTAACCACCGTACGCCCGTCTCCTCTCTTTCTAACTCCCTCCGCCCTACCCCCCATTCCCGGTCAAGCGGACTGGTGGGAACCTAGTCGATGGCTGTAAACTCCGGTGTGAGTGAGATAGTCAAGAAACCCGGCCCTCAGCTGGGTGCCTGAAAACACCGGATCCCATACCGAACTCCGAAGTTAAACAGGCGGGTCCCCGTGTCAAAGCGGGGTGGGTAGGGCCCACATTTTTTTCATTTTTGATAATTTTATAGGTAAAGTGAATCCGGCTCTAAGAGGTATTTTAAATGCCGGTTGCACGGAGGTGATTCACGTCTAAAGCACTGCCCCTAAGGCCACCTGGGGTGGGCGAACCGCCAGTCGTCGTGGTTATGTTGTACCGCACGCAGGCGTGCGTTTTGCCTACCTGCAATGCCCGTTAGGCGCTACGGCCCCTGGGGTAGGAAAACCAAACGTGCGGTAAAGTATAACTGCATTTTCCAAACTTTCAGCATGTCGACGAGGTCGGAGAAAAATAGGTCGGCCAATCTAAATACACCCCGCGCGCTCACGGTCTCGCGCGAGGCGCCGATAGCGGGCCGGGTCCTCCCCACCCACCGTGACGTCACCGGCTCCGGAAATAAATGCAGCGGGCCCGGAGCGCAGCCCGGAGAGGAGGTCCCTCAGCGCGGCGTCGGGGGCGGGCGCGGCCGCCCGGGGGAGGGGTGGCTTTAGGGGATGAAATGTTGGGGCGGCCGGCTGGGGGTGGCGGGCGGACGCATGCGTGCGGCAAAGGTACGCGTGGGGTGGCTGTTTGGCTGCGGTTAGCTGCTTTGGTTGTTTGGTTGCTCGTTTGCTCGCCTGTGCCACATGCCGCAGGTTCCAGGTGCGCGCTTGGTTATATGCCTGATTTTGCTTAGCCTGGAGAGGTAGATGAATGCAGATGAATAGATGGAATAGATGGAAGGTGGATTTAAATCGGGAACTATAATAAGTTCCGTGAGTGATTGTCAGTTAAAGTTGTTAAGGCTCCTCTCTGATCCCTTCCTGGAGGCCTCCCCCCCCCTCCTTTACCCAGAGATAACAAACTCGCCCCCAGTCGGGGATCATCCGTAATCGTAGACACGTAGAGCAGACAACAGGCTGCCAGCAGCGCCTCGGCCGGGGGGCGGCGTCAAAGCAAACAAACCTCCTGGCGTTTTGGCGGGAAAGGCAAACGGGCGGCCCAGTCATTAGCGCAGCCGGCGCAGCCTGGGGCAGCCTGGGGCGGGACGGCGAGGAGGGAAACAGAAAAGGGTCGTAGGTGAGCCTTAATAGGCATGTAGATGACGATATGCCGCACGAATTTGGTGCTCAACTTGTACTTATCTCAGTGTACTTTAGGGGAGCCTACAATGTCAGTTCCACACCGCTCGCATTTAGTTAATACAACTAAATCGGGGTTGTAAGAAACAAAATTTAGTTCCTACAACCGACTAAAATTTAGTGACCCTATTTTTCACTAAATATGGTCGCACCCTTTACTTGTATGAGATGAGGTCCTCTTTTACTTGGCTGGTTGCAACTGTATATGTTTCTCTTTTTTCCATCGACTTTAACTCTTTTTTCTCTCTCTTCTTTGCGGGGCGTGCGGCAGACATGCAGCAGCCACTCGCAGCTGCTGATATGGCGCTGGGCTCGGTCCGGCCGGCCCGGCCCACTGCTCCTCTCTGATAATGTCAAGCCCAGACGGGCCGGCCGAGGCCTACCCCGCCTCGCCCCACCCGGTCCCACCCCGCCCCGACGGTCTATAGCCCGCCGCGGCCTCGGCCCAGCCAGGCCGCTGTCCGGCTTGGCTGGGGATGACATTTAGTGGAGACGGCCTCGTCCAGCCGAACAGCCAGCCAGCCCCCTGCCCCCGGCTCCCGGTCGTCAATTTGCTGCGTGTGTAAGTGCATGTGTTTGTGAGGGCGTGTGTATAGATGGATGAAGAGGGAGAGAGAGAGAGAATGAGAGAGAGAGAGAGAGAGAGAGTTTTTGAGTTTTTACAAAGGATTTATTGGGGGATTTTATTGTACATTATGGGCTAAAAGGGGAGTGTAATTTTGTAACAAATAGCTGGCGATGCAGCGGGCATGCGGTGCTGCTTGTTTGTGTCTAACAGAGTTTGATTTTAAGGAATAATTAAAAATAGAAATTTACAAAAATGTGTCTAAGTGAAGGAGGGGTCTTAATTTTATTTTTTGACATGAGAAATGTTCAAAGTATTAAATGCCTGTGAGGCCCTAGTAATAGTATCCTTAAGGACATTATTATTTTTACATAGAATAGAGGCTTCATTAAGTTTGTTTACAAGTTCTAGATAGTCTAACTTGATTTTCTCAATATATCTAAATCGATGGGCGAGTCTTCTTACATTTGCATTTTGCTGATTGCATTGGCTAAGGATGTACTGAAATGTTTCTTTTGGAACTTTGGCTTCATTGAAGTACATAGAAGAACAGATTCTTGGGATGTCAGGATCTTCTGGAATTTTTTCTAGGTGTGGAGAATGGGAAGCAACTGTCCACTTTTCGGAGATTTTTTCTTCAGGTTGAGAAATTGATTGTTTTTGCACTTTGAGGTGATCTGATAACGGGGATTGAGGGGAGTGAAGTCTCTTCTTTGAATTGGATGAGGATGAGAGAAAGAGGTGGTTGGGTGGTTGTTCAGGATCTGTTGAGAGGTTAGGGATGGGAGCAGGGAGAGTAATGGAGAGGGGCGGGGGGAGCAGGGGTGTTGGAGGAAGAACAGCTGAGCTGGTGGGTAGGCGCCGCTGTGTCAGGCCTGTGGGGATTGAGGTTATGTTGCACATATCTTGGGTTTCTTCTGGGCTTGACTTTTTGAGGTAGTTTGAGTCCTGTAGGATTGTTGGGTGGGATTCTTGAGCTGATTCTGAGGGCTGGATTCTTGATTTTGGGTTAGATAGGCGGAGTGCTGGTGATGGTGTGTACTCGGCGAAATCTTCGTCCGGGCACTTGGGTTTTGATGATTGTTGCACGGTGATATAAAGTGTGTGTTTTTCTCCTTCTGAGCTTGTGATGTGCATAACTTCTGGGCACGATAGGGCATCTTTCGGGACTTGCAGGTAGATCGATCTTTTCATTGTTTTCACATGCTTTAGGTCTTCATGAATGGTGTTTACACTTATTTTGGTTGGTGCTGAGACAGGTTTACCATAGGGTTGTAAAAGTTTGAGCAAGGATTCGTCTGACATTTCTGGTGGGCAATTTGAAATCAAAAATTTTGTTGCTTGAGATTTGTACCTGCGACACGGCAGGAAGGTGTTGTTGACTGTGACACCTCCTTGGTCGCATATCGTTGTGACGGCAGAGTCATTGGACAAGTAGAGACAGAATCGGCCCCCACTTAGTTTGGCACAGTAATGAATGTTTTTGCCGCCCACAAGGTCGGCTGTAGCTCGTAGAAGATCGTCTTGAGGATGTTGTTGTGAGTTTTCCAACACAACAGCAAGGTTTCTTGAAGGCACAGTTTTGAGTGGGGAGACGTTGAGGTTACCTGGGGTTGTAGGCTGGAAATCTTGTTGAAGTAAGGTGCTCATGGAGGTTGGATTTGACTGTAGCACTGACGAATAGGAAAGTTGTGATCGTTGGCTTGACATTTTTGATGGTTTGTTGATTTTCTCATGAGATTTTCTTCAGTTGTTGATGAGACGTTTAATCCGCGGCTGCCTGAGAGGTTAGGTCGGAGCACCCCAGCAAGTTTCGTTTCTTGTTAGAAATCCGCGGAGTCCACACTGAAGATTTTCTGCTCACTTGATGCAAGAATGTTTGTTCCACTCACTTGACTTAGATGGGATAGTTTTTTCACTGGTTTCACTAGTAATTTGTATTAATACGAGGAGTAGTAGTTAGGGTGCGCTTTCGCGGGCTTTCTCGAGAGAGAGAGAGAGAGAGAGAGAGAGAGAGAGAGAGAGAGAGGGGGGAGGAGTGTCAGTTAGAAAATGAAAACATCAGCATAGGCTAGGCTCGCAGTCACACGGTCTTATGGACGTTGACCACGGGCATTCTCTGAAAACCCAACAGCATGCATTGCATGCGTTATATAAAGCATGCATGGTATGCATGCTGTATTTAACGCATGCATTGAGATGCATGCTGTTTTTAGCCTTCCTTGAGTAAAGATCAACCACCAGCTCCGAATGCATGGTGTCGGGGAGGACCGTCTGTAGAAGCAGATCCTGGGTGCATACGATGCGGGGACAGGGGTGCCGCCTGTGAGGTAGGCCGTCTCGCGCATCCGTGTGTGGCGGTTGCCTACCCTGCAGCCCGCGGGCGCGCTGGGGAGCGGAGCTGAGGAGCGGGAAGGTTCGCGACTGCGGCGGCCGTCAGGTGAGCGCGCCCGCGTCGCAGAGGAGCAGGAAAGGACTCGCACAGTCCAGCCGGAAATTAAGAGCGGGGATCTCAGCGTCGCGTCGTCCGCAGCAGATCTTTTGCCAATTTGGCAGCGTTTCGCGATGCTCGTGACGCGACCATTTTATCGCCGAAACGCTTTTCCTCTTTATTTCTTTTATTTTATTTTTTCGCCCGGTTTGTCGGCTTTTAATACATTCCCCTGCGCCATTATATCGGTGGGGGAGGGAAAGTTTTTGGCGCGCGACATACAGCGGGTGGGGTTGAAAGAGAAAGGCCAGAGGATCCCCGGCACGGCACGGCCCGACACCACGCCCAGGCCCACCACCAGCGGCTACAGAAAAAATATGGTGTCGTTTGCGGCGCAAGATGTCTTGCGCAGGTTTCTGCTCAGCGCCGCCGTCGGGCGCGCGAGCCTTATTCATATCATTTGGCGCACTTCCCCCGACGTGGCGTGGCGTGGCGTGGCGTGGCGTGGCGTGGCAGGGCGGGGCGAGGCGCGGAGGGGAGGGGTGGGGTGGGGTGGGGTGAGTCGGTGGTGGGCTGGCGGCGCGAACGTCCCTGCCACGTAGGCAATATCCCAGGTGTCCTCCTCCAGTCTCGAGTGGGGATGCAGGCGGTCTGGGTCGGGGGGATGCCTGGCCAGGGATCCTACCCCCGCCTCCGCGAGTGGCTTTACGCCCAACGTCCTATATGCGGCCGGCCCCAACCCCTCCCGCAGGGACGCGTCACCCTGAGAGGCGCCACCAGGCGCCCCCTGGGCCCCTGGGCTTGCGGGGCGCGGCATTTTGTTCCACCGGGGCGGCGCGCTGAAAGTCGCTGGTTCTGAGCGCAGGTACGCTTCTGCAACACCTGTGCTGCAGGACGAACAGGTCGCGCTGGCGGTGTGGGCTCGGTGGGGAGGGCACGAAATGGGAGGCGCGTGAAGAAGGAACAGCGGCGCAGCAGCCCCGGGGCAGGCGTCGCGGCGTCACGGCCAAACTGCGGTCGTCGCGCCTCCGGATTTATGGAAATGGGGCCACTCGTTCGGAGGTTTGTGGGATTGTGATATAATATGCGCTCACGGAGGGGGGAGGGGCTGGGATACTTTTTTCTCCACCTGGCAGCCACACTGTGGTGGAGGAGCGAGCTGGACAGGAGAAATATGGTGCGTGGGAGTGGCGCCTGTGACGATTGCCTGATGGCCCGGAGCTCACACCTGGTGGTGGGCGCCGCGACCGGGTGTGCATCACTGCTGCTGTTGTTGATGCTGTTCACGCAGCAACTGCAGAGCTGTTCCGGCGCGCACAAATGCGATGGCCACACTACTGGATACGGGCTAGCTAACGGCCCGTGCACGCCCGCTCGCACGCCCAGCACGGGGTCACGAGGGCGGTGGCGGGCCCTTCAATTTCAGTGTTGGCCGAAATTTGAAGATAAAGGTGGCGAGAGAGTAATGGTTTAATGTGGTGAACAGCTCGTAGCGGCGTGGAGTGGAGTGGTGGGGCTCCTTTGTTTGGTCGCAGGCCTTTGTTACGGCCGTCCCAACGCGCCACCCGGCCCAGGGCGGGGCCGCGGGCGGGGGCGCAGGCGGGCGTGGGCGCGTCGCGGGCGGGCGGGCGGGCCGGTCTGGTCACAAGTAAGGCTCCACTTAATTTGGGAATGGAGTGCCAACTTTATTCAACGTTTTGTCCGCCTTTTCTTCCTCCCCTCTTCTCTCCGCATCCCGTATTTTCCCCCCACCTCTCCCTCCATTTTTCTATCGCTCTCCTCTTTTACAGATTATTTTTAACTTTTTACCCGTCGCGTCGCGGGTGGCGCGGCGGCCGGCCGGCTGGCCAGCTTAACTTGGGGGCTTGTCCGACAAACTTTTAATGGAGAGTATGCTGATGGGCGTGTAACTTTTTTACTAGAAAGAATTATTGGAATCGGCTGACTGATGCGGGGGTGTGGCCCAGGCGAGGCGGTGAGGCGAGACCACGCAGGACGGCGCCGTCACCACGGCCGGCGTAGCGCAAGCCGCCCACCCGGCAGGGGAGCGCGAGGGGTTGCCTACCACGCAGGCGTTCGCGGCGCGCTCCTTTCAAAAGCGATTATTGATTTCGGTATTGTATTTCTTAATTGTTTACTATGGATTTCACTCTTTTGGAGAGTCTCTGCGGTAAAATACGACACAGCATCCCAGGGTGCGGGGCGAGCGGGGGCGAGCCGCACTGCTCCGCTGGCCGCGCGAATGACGAAGACTTGCGGGACACTTACGCCCGCCACCCCCTTCCTCTTCCTCCCTCCCGCTCGTCTGCTCTGCCGCAGTATTCTCGCCCTATAGGGCCATGGCGTCATGATGAGCGAAAGGCGGAGAGGGGAGGGGGAGCAAAAACACTCGCTGTGTTCCCTCCGGAAGCGGCGGCCGCCGGGCCGCGCCAGGAGCCACCGGGAGGCGGCCGGGAGGCACCGCTGCTCCGCGACGCCTCTCTGCCTTTCGCCAGATGGGCTCTTGCTTTTTATAGGCGACATATTTTGAGGAGCCGGCGCCTATAACGCAGCCGCGGGCTAAGTGAGTTGGGCGAGCGGCGTCAGGGGGGGGGGGAT